CCCCGCGCGAAGTGCAAAAGCAACAAGAGTATTCCTCTTTCTAAAAGTACCGCGCCAAGTGCAGAAAACAATCTGAACCAGGAATGGTGAATTCGAAGCCCTTAGGGATAGAGGGCCGGATAGGAAAGAAAATTTTTTTTCCTTCCCTCATTGGCGGCATTCATAAAGGATTTCACTTTAAATGAAAAATATGTTACCTATAATTTGTTATAAATTGCAACCTCTACGCATATTCAAAGAATATAGAAAGATTAATTGGATGGGATGTCCAATGGAAAACGCAACTTTCTGAAAGGAAAAGGATGGACATTTTTATTTTATAAAGTATCAACCAATAGTAATGTGAACTCTGTTTTAATTGAATACAAGACAAAAGAGGGGGCAAAATCGACGCACGTGTCAGAACATCAAAGGTATCCAGTCACTTCGTAACGGCGGTCCTCTCGTACCCAAATGCAGTCGATTCGTGCCCAAACCACTAACCAGTTCTAACTTGTTGTTACACCTCCAAATATACATTAATTCTAAATACCTTACGTGCGAGTGCGTGAACAGATGTTAATGATGCCTACAAAAATCAATTAGAGTCAAGCGAGTATTAAAGATACAAAAATAATTATGTTGTGTGTACTTGTAACCGTATTGCTTAGCGCGAAGTAAGTGTGATATTTTTTTCAGAAAAGTCTATTGTTTATACTTGTGATAACAGCTCGTGTAAGTGAGATATTAATTCTCCTGTTGTTGTCAACAGAAACAATTTCGTTTCTTCTAATTAAAAATTAATTTGTAGAAACGAGAACTAGCCATTATAAGGGAAGAAAAAGAGGATTAAAAAAATTGTGCTTTTGAAAAAGAGATGCATCCACAGGAAATATTTATAGCCAGGTTTCTCCTACTCTTTGTAATACCAAATTGATGGTCAAGATGAAAAAGAATGACGGGAAATTCCCTTGCTTTGAAACCTTGCGTCCTTAAGGTCGAAAACTTCGGTGAGTTTTTTTTTAAAATCACAGAGCGTTTTGTTGTTGCTATATAGATGCCGTTCGTTTATCAATTATGATAGTTCGATCAAATAACATCTCTATCGTTTAAATCTTTACCTGCTTAAATGACTGTGAGTATATGAAAGTCGTATATGTGAATTGCGGATTGTGAAATGAATAGGAAAGTGATCTTCCCAATAATGAACACTACTAAAACAGGAGTGAAAATATGGCCTGGAAATAACTCAGGCCTGTACGGGATTTTAACCCATGACCTCTATCATACTGGTGCGGTGCTCTACAAACTGAGCTAACAAGCCAACTGTGAACTGGTCATTTTGTTGGTTCTTACTAGACGAATTTCTCTTCTTACTTTTGCCTTATTTGACTGTCAAAGACAAATAACTTATCTTGTTTTCTAGAGTTCATTGCTGGATTCATTTATCCTTGTAGATCAGGAAAAAAATAAGAGCCTGTAGATGTAACTTAAGTGTCTGTAAGTATCGAGGAATGTGGAGAAGAAGTTCTCCAGGTCACCAGGCCATGGGCGTCACTGAAACACAGTGAACTTCAAGTTCCAAAATTATCTTGGCAAAATAGCAACCATATCTAGCGGATCAGTTCAGAAATGCAAGATTTAGCGGCATTTCGAAGGCTTCTCAAGTAAAATACGCTAAGAAAGGATGGAACGGTATACACCATGCAAGACTGTTTTCCCTTCGGAGAGGGAAAGAGCAATTTTACGTTGCCTCTTTTGATCAAATTCCCGGTTTTGTCATTTATTTGTTTCATCTAAGAGAGCTGTCGAATTTTCAGATGATAAAGTGATTTAACTCAAAATGGTTTAACTCTCATTCAGGTAGAAGGTCTTTTATGACCAGTTTCAGCTGTTTAACAAGTAACCTCCCACCACATTTCCACTGCATCTCAAAAGCACCAAGGAACAGAAATCCGGTCATTAGTTGGTCGACACTATCTTCAGTCAACCGAGGGGCTCATTGCTCGCACTTACTTTAATTACCGAGGAATTTTCAGGCAGTTTTGTTCCAGCTACCACTTTTCTGGATCTTATCGATCTTCTTGGTTTGATATGTAGGAAAGATTTTATTTCTTGCAACCTCGTTTTCAGGCCCATTTTAAACAAAGGCATTCGAAAGCAATAAATTATTGGGTTCACCAAAGATTGTACCGCAAGTAGGAGCGTTGCACACATGAAATACCAACCAGAAAAGTGGTCACAACTTTTGCACAACAGGAAGATTGGCTTACAGGTCATGGGAATTCCCCACGTAACCAAGAAAACTCCCGTGACCAGCAATAGAGTTAGGGCCAATGATCTGTCTTGTCTGGCTGCTGTGCCGATTCTGCACTGTCCTCTGCGTCGAAGAGTTATCCAAATGCGTAAATAACAAGTAGATGTAATTATAACTATCACAAACAGCGCAGCTGGCTGCAAAAAAGGAGAAAACTTGGAAACCTTATCTCGCCGATAAATAGAAAGAGTGGTGTTGCCCATCGAAAAGATCCAGATTGCCAGAACAGCTACTTTGTAAGCTTTGCTATTCATCAGTTTGTGACGTATCGGCCAAACCACTGAATACATCCTCTCCACTGCAATCACACTAAGAGTAAACAGACAAGCGGATTTCGTGAACGTGATCATTACACTTGACACAATAATAGAGATAGGCGTTGGATTGAATATGGAGAAGATGAGTGATGGTATTCCCAGGAGTCCATAAATAAGATCAGCAACAGCAAGATTGACAACCATCATGTGTTTCCGATTCCTGAGCAACGGATTCTTAATGAAAGTATGCAGCAACAAGGTGTTAACTAGCACGACAATGAAACTCATTGTAGCGGAAACTGTACCCCAAAACTTCCAAATAGATGATCCCAATCCAAAAATCTCTGCAGCTCGGTAGTAATCCATGATTCTATTGGATTTCTGTCACAAAAGATAAAACCTTGTCTTGGTTTTTTTTTAAGTACGTACATTGAAACGATGTTTGCTGCAAATATCATGAAATCATTCAAACAAAGGGTTTTTTGATAATTTCCCCAGCTTATCACCCTATTTAAAAAATTGACATCTCTTCATTTCGCATCGTTTTCTCGAAATGAAAAAATGCCCTAATGAAAGGTTGTTAAAGCGGACAAAGAGTTAAAAAAGAGGGAAATTAACAACCATTTTCGAGGGGTTTTAAATCTTCTGAGTACCATTCAACAAAGTACCAATTTATTTCCCATTCTTCTACCATTCAATACGTTGTAATTCTATGGCAAAGATAGTCACTGCAATTAAGGCCCTGTCCATACGTTTATGGATATTTTTGAAACCGCAACTTTTACGATGCTTATTTCAATACATTGACGTCCCCTAGTAAAGTTTTCGAATCGTTTTAGTGCACACGACGCTGTTTATAATGCGTATTCAAAACAAAATCCACGCCGGAAAGCGTTAAAAAATTTGCGGATTTTTCAACCTTATTCACCGGATACGTGCGCACGGAAGGCCAATCCGCAACAATAGAGTTGCGTTTTCAAAAAACATTCTTAGTCTTAGCCCTTAGCCCTTCCAAGCCTTAGTCCTTGGAAATTTTGATTTTTTAATTCCTCAGCTCCCATTTAATTAAAGCGAACCTTACTTTTTTTTGCTTATCATACAGACATGAGAAAATACGAATATGATCTTAAGCATTACCCTAAACAACACGATTAATGTGATGACCGAAAGTTTTCTACCCTGAACTAAAACCGTATTTTTCAAAAGTTTTCACACATCACGAGGTATCCACTTTGAAGTCATCATTTAATTTAAGGTAATACAACTTTTCGCTAATCGTTCTAAGTCGATAAGTTCAATCCATGATTTCAATCCCGAACTGCTTATATAATGACCACATAAAATTAATTTTTACTGGATATTAAAGGTAAGAAATGTGCGGCAAACCTTGTTTAGTTTGTATTCCTCTGACAGATCAAAATGTAGTAAACAACCTCTCTAAGACTAAGCAGAACAGGCTTGATTTCCATTAAGGTCAGTGATAATTATATTGGAGCAAGAGATTCTAATCTTTTGATTGGTGGCAAAGTGTAATAGAGGAGTGATTTACGTAAACGATTGTTATTATATTCTGAATTGCAGATTCACTCTAAACATTTCAAAGTCTAACTTTTTGTGGGAGGGGGGGAGGGAGGGGAGGGAGAGAGAAGAGAGTTAGTGAGTTTAGCCAAACCCCGCTTAATTTCACAACACAAGTTAAACACCGTTTAAATGAAAAGCACTGATCATTTCGCACAAGAATACAGCTATAGCTTTATTGCTTTTCAGAACAATTTAGTGTTTCGCCATGATTTCAAAATCAAATCGGACATCTCAACTGTTCGAAGTATGAAAAAATGATCAAAAACTGAATTTGAACCAATATTGTTTTTGTCCTTCATATTTTATTTTGAACCCCAAAAGAAGCAAGATTTAGAAATATACACTAAAAATGTTTTAAATAAGGGAACAAAGACCAGCAATTTCACTGATTATCTATGAATGATTTTTAATTTCAGCTGTTCTTGAGAAATCGTATTGTTCTATTTAAATGGTTTGTGATAGACGCGTTTGAGCAATCATTAAAATTCATAAATTTTGCTGAGATGAGTTTGAAAAAAGGCGCCGTTGAGAGTATGAAATCAATTTGTCGAGGAAACAAATATGCCAGTGCTTCAAAAAACAGCGGGACATCTTGAAGAACGACTGCGGAATTAAAAAGGTAGTAAAGAAGTTGGTTAAACAGTTCTTGTGGCGAGTCCAGGTCACCACTTAAACGACGCCAGCCTCACAGGGCAATTACAAAGCTTAAAATTTGGTCGGGTTAGGAGGTGAAAACTTTGCTCTTCTTGATCTTAGCTCTGATTGATGGGAAGCAACGCCGACGCAAGTTCGGGCTCAGCAACTTAAACCGCAAGCTGTACCTTTTTATCAATTATCCTTTGATAAGTGAACATCGTTATGAACCGTTATTCGGCCACATTTATTGGTAAAATTAAGCATCCATCAGACATGTCAAAAGCTTACGTTTGAATTGAAGAATCGAGAAGAATTATATTTGCAAGACTCACTCTGCAGTCAAGCCAAAAGTTTGGCTCAAGTAAAGTTTAGTTTTACGATTGAAAACTGTCTTCTGACCGAGGCAGATAAGATCATTTTTAGTGTTCAAAAATGTGTTATGATTGGTTATATTGTTGCTTTTTTTTAAGGGCGCACACTCAGCTCTTTTGAATGTTTCTATTAGACATGCTGTGCTGAAGCACTTACTTATATTAAAAAAGAGAATATAAGGAAACCTCAACATTGCAAAGTCCTCACAGGTTTTTCGTGCCTGTGATCTTGTTACAAACGTGAATTATAACCAAGTAATATATCAGTCTCAATACTTGCTTATCGCTATATGCTGATGCCGCTGAGGACATTCGCCTCGAGACCTGTTCGAAAACCTTAGCGTTTCAGTAAAACGCGTTTGAGACATTGTAAAAGATCAGTTACAATTAATTTTTTCTGGTGTAGCGATATCTCGGTATTCCAAGACAGTCATAAGTAAGGATTTTCTTTACAGTTCTATGAAGTGAACTGATGGTATAGAAATAAAATCCGAGCATTAAAATTGATTTCAGATACAAAACGATTCTAACACTGTACAGAAACATTATGGAAACAGGGACACAAAAGTTACAAAATTTATAATATGTAAAACCTGTATAAGGTAAGGCCCATAAAACTACATAAACAGCACATGATGCTATCACTGATTTTACAATTTTTTTGTCTTCGTCGCGATCAGTTTCACGCACTTTGCCATACAGCTGAGAAACCATTACCACTGTGCACGTGAAGATAAGGAAGAGGGCGGTTATAGCGAGTAGACCAACTGCTAAGTAGAAGTAAACGAAGAATGAAACGTAATCCATTAGACATGCAACATTAAAGGCCACAGCACCACCAGCAATAAACGTCGAGCCCGCGATGACGAGATAAAAATTGCGCTTTTTAGGATAACCTGCGTACCGAGTCGGGGACCTGAATGTTGAACGTAATGCTTGTACTGATAGAGCCACGAGAATGCCGGCTGAGCCAAACCCAGAGGCACAGTCAGATGCTTCATAGATGTAAAAGCTGTAACTTGGCCAGTTAGTCATGTTGTACAAGAAGGTTGGTATCGATGCCAGTCCCACCACAAGATCAGCGCAGGCGAGGTAGCCCAGGAAGTATCTCTGATGGTATAGTAGCGATTGATTTGTAATAAAGGCTCGCACCATGAGGTAGTTAACGGTCAAAATGGCGAGACACACAATGGAATAACACACCACTAGGATTATCAGCTGGTATGTTTCCATGCCTGGATCCTGGTTAAAGGTGCTATTGACAGATCGCAAATTTGGGGTGACTCGTGTGACGTTCATACTGAAACGATAGATACACAGTAAAGAATAAATTAACTTTTAAGAGGTGGACTTCTGAGGCCATTCGAGTCCGCAATCACCTTCTTGACCATATTCAACCCTAGGGGACGAAAAGATGAGCAAGATTGAAGTATTTATCATATATCCAATGAACTGCCTAAATAAACACGAACTATTTAAATTACACCAGAGGCGTTCCCTTTTGACTCTAATCGGTTCAACTTTAAAAATGCTAATAGTTTTTGCAGCAACAATCTCTCTTGAAAACTTTCTACCATTTCCAGGTTAGGTTCCCTTAGCATGAAACGAGTAAACGGGCGATCAATGAACGGAGGAAGTGATAAGGAGTAGATGGATTGATAGCCCAACAACTGAATAAATGGATAAATGATCGATAAATAATTGTAGCTGCTCATAAGTCAGTAGATGACTCAATGGAAGAAAACGATTCAAAAGCAGTTGACTAACATGGATAAACAAATGTCCTTTTTTTTCTTAGATGCTGGTCGAATTCGGAATGAGCAGTATGGATTAAGTTGTGTTGCTAAAGGTTTTTCCTCAGCGAGAAGCATGATTTTGTTTTATTTTTTGCGAATATTTTCTGGCTCTATTCTCCAAATAAAGATATCGAGGAAAAGAAATGAATGACCGATTCTCTTGAAAATTAATTGCTATTACCTTTTTCTGGATTATTTGAAAGGAAAATTGTCAGAAGCTCGATGAGCCCAGTCAGAAATGGTTTGTGACTTCCTTTAACACTTGAAAACCAACAACATCAATTTCAGCCTGTCAGATGCAAATATAAGTATCAAATAAAATTGTAAGGGAGTGTTTGATCATTAAAAACAAACCTTATTGCAATGAATTTCTTATGTGGAACATTCGCGAGAAAAGTTGAAAGATGAAAGGAGAACCATGCCGAGATGTCATTTTATTATTTTTGCTAATAAATATTTCAAAAGAGACTCTAAAAGATTGCAAGTAAGCTTGACGAAAAAAATTGTTTTGAAGCAAGCTTAATTAAAAAACATAGAAAACTTCCTGTCCTAATAACAAACAAAATGAAAAATTATTTCCCCTCAACTAGCGCAATTGAATGTCATAGTCTCGAAAATAATGTAAAACTTTACTAATTGAACGTCCAAAGAGCATCATACAGGCCATGATTTATGTGAAAGTGCATAATTCAAGATCCCACTTACAGCTGTATAGCTCTCATTGTGATGCATAGTGGCTTTGGGTATTTTCATTGGAGGGTGAACTTAGACGCTTAATTGAATTTTAGACCATGAAATCAAGATGATTCCAAAAGTTAAATTTTCTGTCTTGAGTAGTGACTGTTAGAATACAAATATGTATATATCGTACTTTTTTTTTAAGTAAATAGCGCTTTCAACTCCTTTCACATTAAGATTGGCACCTGACGGGATTCCTTTTTGAAAATTCATTGATCACTGGCAGAAGACAACAGCAGGATTCAACGCTTTTCAAAAATCTTTTCAAGACGCTGATAAAAAATTTATTGTGTGCATAGGTTAGATTGATTGGTTGAATTGAAATGAGTCTGGCGTATAGTTTTTGAGAAGCAAATACTCTTATGTCCATGCACCTGAAAGCTTATTGCTAAGATCATCAAGAAATCAGATAAAACTAGTCTGGCTTGAATCCCTCGCTGTATCGAACAATTAAATTTTTATGGATCATAATTGGGATTTGACCCAAACAATTTTAATTCTGTAAAGCCAATATAATAAAGAATTAATTAGGCAGGTAATCATTTTCGTTTGCTCTCAGGTCACAAAAACGTACCAGAGTAAATATGGAATACTCGAGAAAAGTTGCTTATAATACCAGATATATGATCTACCAAAGTTTCTTGCTCACATTGAAAAACCGAAAAAAAAATCAAAATTGCAAATCTGTCGATGGATGTGGAGTTTTGAATACCATAAATCGAACGATCATTCACAACTATTTACTTTTCTCCACGGTATTCGAAATATCTTTCGGTTGTATTGACTGTATTAGAAGCCTATGCTCACGGTACTTTTCCCCCGTGACTTCGTGAGAACTGCACTTCATATCCTTTAATCCAAAGGTTTTAAATTCTCAGAATCGGTCTCGGGAAACTCTGAATGTTTCAAGATTTGTTAATCGATCTTGCGTGCAAAATTACTACTTTGAGTGTCTCGGTTTCTTGGCGAGTTTGAGTTCCCATTCTAGACCCCTATAAATCATTCAATAAGTCGGAAATATCTAGTGATATAGCACGTACTTGAATTTTGGTCGATTAGATTCGCTTTCCAGTGTAGTGTTTCCTGTTTTCTTTTTCTTGATCCTTCGAAGAGTTCAAGCTTCCTTGCTGCTTCTTGTGTCACGCTGGAGCATCGCCAAATGATGAACTTCAAGGATTAAGTAGTCTTGCTAATTTACATTGACGCTGGCGATGTTTATTTGCATACACTGTGACCAAGCTTCGACTTTTGTTTTCAACCCCACGGTATTTATACAATCCTTTGTCTTAAGTATCTCAAGCAGTTTTGGTTGGTCACCTGAATGTAATCAGATCTGATTTACAATTATTATTGAAAACCGGTCTAATTTTTCAACGGAATTTTTCGCTGTCTTTATGTAGTTTTGTTTACAGTTAATTATTACTGTTTTTACGTACACCGTACCGAAAATTTTTGGCAGGGTTTTCCCGTTTCTTCGCTGGTTTGTGTTTAATATTTCGAAAACCTAGATTATATTATGCGTTCTTAACTTCAGTCAAATCTGAGAGTTCGGAAGGCATGGAGCGTACACCATAATTCCTTCTAGAACATTCTCTCTTTTACCATTCAGCACGGCACAAATTATTTTGTTTCATTTAGAGTTTTTTGTTTTCTGGTAAGAATATATTACCCTGGATTTAAAAATTTCAAAGTTGACTTAACCCTTAGAAGCTTGCACACCGAAAATTTTTATATCCTGCAATCTTCTGAATTCATAATTTCTGAGATATCTGAGGTAATGGTATATTCCAGCTGGGATTTCAACAGAGAGCGATCAAGAGTGAAATTTTTGGAGAAAAACAATTGATGTAAGTGGATGATTTTAACCAAAGCGCAGCTTTGAATTAAGAAAAATCAGCGTGAGTGATGTATCATCGAGACAATCTGTAAACGACTTCCGTTAGTGACGGCTGGATTCGAAGTAAATCAACCACAGTCTAGAACCACTAAAGGTTTTTTTCATTTAGACAAAACCGGAACTGGAAACCAGCCGCCGAACCTTTCAAGGTTGGAGGCATGTTTTCTTTCCCCATCTCCAGCCAATCATTCTTCGTTCCAGTGGAATTTTTAGATGCTTAGGCTAATAGGGGAGTGATTTTTGATTCAATAACAGCAAATCTCGGCATTGCACGAGCCCAATTACCTTACGAGCCCTTACGTACCTAGAATATACTAATACTCTAAGCGTGCTTTCGAAGTGTGTTATAAAAACTCAGGCAAATTGCACAATATTTTTGCAAGCCTACTTTTATAAAATTACAGTTGCTTAATGACTTAAGAAATCTCTTCAACAAGACACCATGTAACACCTGCACCAGGTAGGCCATGAAGTTCATGAAGTTCTGGTCCGGTGGTCAGATTGTTAAGGTTGTAAATCACACACTGACTTTGCTTTTCATCAGGAAGAGAAAGAATTAGCTGCAATGGCGAAAAAGTTGTACTAATTGTTTTATCGTACAACGCAGTTCTCGAGCCATTCGACTAAACTTCTGTCATTATGGTTAAGGAGCAACATGCTGAGTAGTAGAGTTGGGATCATCTTTCTCTTTTGGGAGATACCTCTCACTGGCCTATTGCCAGGTATCAACTTCACATTTCACCGATAATGACGGAAAAAGGAAATCAAAGTGATACTATGGTGAACTCGTAGATAAACTGTGAAAAATATCATGTAAACGATGGTATTCTGTTGAATCTTGTACCGTTAACTTGAGTCGAATCAAAACGTTAGACCAGGAAGTGGCAGTTGTAGAGAGGTGGCCGTAAGTGAAGGGGCGACCTTGAAATTAGTGTCGTAGTTAGCGAAAGATTCCACGTCGCCTGGCATATGTTTAGGAAAAAAGGCAGCATATGAGGCGCACAGATGCTCGAAAGCACCACGTACGTCAGAGCAGTGATCTAACAATGAACAGACACACGGCAACATTAAATCTATTTTTGATTTATATAACAAAGAAACACGAGAAGTTGATAAGGACGTCCATTGTGTCTGCCCTCCGATATTTCATTAGTAAGAATCAATCAAAAAACTTATGAATTCAGCTTATCATTTGACCCTTTAATTATCAAGATTTGATTATTAATGCTCTCCTCCAGCTGCGACACATTTTCTTATAAATCGGTTACGAGAATTTGGCGTTCAATCAAGATAAGTTTGCGTAATCTCACTACCTGTTTGCTGGATAATCTATAGATACTGTAGGGAGAAGTTACAAGTTAATCACCTCTGGGACTTAAAGGTGTAATTATGGAAGGACAGCGATTGGCGAAAAAATCCAGGTCATGCCAACATCCATTTTCTTAGCCCGTTGGACGAATTAAAGGACGCATTAGAGAAAAAAAACTAGGCTATGGAACTATAATATGCATAATCAATATTATTTAAAAAAAAGGAAACATCACCTACGTACATTGTAATCTTATTTTTAATTCAGATAAGTCAAAGTAATATTTCATCATAACAGTACCATTGCACTCCATTATTACCGTTACGTTGTCGAATTCAATAAATTTACAAAGTTAAAATCGTATATACTATAATTCAATTCTAATACATTTCAAAAAATTGAAGCATACCTTGACACTCATGTTTCAAACTTATTTCGAAGATAGAGGAAACAGTATGCTGATCCTCCCCTTGATCAAAACAGCTGAGCGGTGAAATTTATGATGACAAATTAATTACTCCAAAAATATCATTAAACATATAAATTTTAAAGCTTTGCAACCAAAAATTGCTTAATATGTCTTTTTCCTCCTCGGTCTAAAACTTGGAGGGTAGACAAATTCTCAGCACTAACATGTGTTAGAATGATATTTTAGCTACATTGCTACGGCTATGTACATTAAGCCATGTATATTTTGATTTCACTTAGCGAGGCCAACCGTCTAACTTCCCGTGTACATTTAGCCTTAGACCCCTAAGAGTGACCAGCATCTAAATTCTCCTCGCTGTAATACTCCTGAATCATATACTGAGGTCACGAGAATAAAGGAAATGATCTCCAACTAGAGTAGCTCTTGATTGATAAACAAATTCTCCTTGTCAGCACCTTAGGAAGTGTATAGTGACCAGAAAGGAGGATATGCATACTGATGTCAGGGTGAAAAGGATAAAAGAAGTATTAATTCTAATCTCTCCCTGAATCTCTATTCTCGCCCGCATAAACCGTGGACTCGACCAAGTCTTTCAAATTAATCCGTTAGATTTCAAAGGACGAGATTCTACACCTGACTAATGAAAGAAAGGTCAGTTTTGTTCCAAAAAAAATGACCTAATCAATTCACTCCTAGAGTGGAACCTCCTTGAACTATTATAGTGCAGTTATACCTTTGTTTTAAATGTAAACAAATTCCAAATTGTATAATAAGTGCAAATTATTTTCATTAACTGAGTACGTCCACAAGGACAAAATACCGTAGAGGATAGACATAAAACTTAGGAAAAGACGTCTTTGATTTGGAGCTGCTGAAGGTACATGTAAATTGAAGGAACGCTTGCCTCACAATCATTTCTTGGTAGCGAAAGACCAAACATTTACTTTAGTTTGCACACCTTCTTGCTAAAGACCCAAAGGAACTATTCAGGGTAATTTGAGACGGAAAATTCTTGTACGAAACCGAAATGCCGGTAAGCGTCCACACAAAAACGTACCTTCAAGAATGAAGAATGTTGTATTATGCTACTCGATAAATTTTTTGGACATCTTTTGTGAATGAAGAACCAATCAAAATCCACACCTTTTGGAGGAAAAGTTTCTTGATTATAAAGGCTGTAATTCTACCTCGAGGTTTCTTTCTTCAACAAAAAGCAAAGTAAAAAAAAGCAAGACTTAAGAACGAAAAAGTCGGCATTGGAATTTGCGAACTTATTTCACTGCTTCTTTTTTTTTTTTAGAAATGCATAGTGTACAGTGTCCGCTTTGAACGGAACACCACTGTCTCTAACTCAGCTCGAGAGTAAGGCAAACCCCATCAAAGTTGTCAAACCCGCAAATTAAAAAGAGACTACAAAAAGATTTCAAACATTGTAAGGCCTCGGTTTTGAGCGATGATCCCTGTGGAAGATTGATTATATAGATTGTGGAGACTTTGGGATAGCCCAGTTGTGCGCATGTACAAAGATCTCGACACAATGGTATCGCCCGCGTGCCTTGGCGAAGTCTTGGATAGTAATCCTTTAAGATACAAATCATTACATTTCATCCCTCAGGATAGTAACTGAAACGATACTGCTCCTATAGAACAGTCTTTCAAGATCACACTACAATGTTACAGCGCACACTCACAGTTGCCGTTTGCCTCTGTTTCACTAGATCGTAACGTGCTTGCTCTTCGGCGTCGCTCAGATAACATCCTCGAAGTAGCTCGGGTCGATGCCCCATATAAAACTTTCTTTCCAAATAAAGCTAGAAGACCTCGCCTGAAGTCAGGCATCTTGAAGGTGTAGATAATAGGATTGATGAACGAGTTCATATATTGCATCAATTTAGTGAGGAAAACGAGAGTCAGAATGGATAAAGTGCATCCATTTTCACACAACGTTGGAATGAAGATGTTGATGCCTTGGAATGGGAACCAAGTCAAGATGAAAATAGCTGACACAAGAAAAAGTGTTGTTGCTAGTTTCTTGTCTTTTTCCAACGATTTCTTCGTTTTCTCGTGTATCCTCTGGTTAACCTTGAACCAAATGCCGATATAAGCCAAGCAAATCACCACCACGCAAATGAAGAAAGATACGAGCATAAGGTACAAGAATATGTTGCTTGAGATCATCTTCTCGTTCACGAGCACTTTTACACACACAAGCACGCCCGCCAGAATCCAGATCATGCTTATCAAGATAAAATACAGACAACTTGGTGTAGTTCGATGCCAGTTTGGTAGAACCACTGAGTATAAACGTTCCAATGCAATAGTTGTTAGTGCAAAGATTGAAGCAAATCCTGAAAAAATGTCCAATAATCTATGAAGTACGTTGATCCACGCGCTATCCAATTCTTCACCTCTTGTGTAAAGAACGAGAGTATGTACAAATATCGGTAATGATATTGTACCAACCATCATATCTGCAATCGCCAGGCACAGCAAAAAGTAGTTTGTACGTTTCCGTAGCAACTTGCTCCGCGTGAATACGACTATAGCGAGGGTATTGCTCATCACAATGAGCATATCGACAATACCAAACGCAAAACACCATCCTATCACCTCCGTGTGTGTGAAGAATGCCTGTCTTGCCCGGCTCTGGTTATTCACATGGCCGTTGGAATCGTTAACCATCATGGCAATGAGTCACTAATGAAAGAAAAATACGAAATTGTCGATAAGTGTTTTGATTTCTTGGAATTGCTTTTTTTCCTTATCGTATTTCTTAGCTACAAATGTTTAATAGAGTTCGTTGGAATGACGCCTTTTCTTAAGTTCTTAATCGTTATAGATGGGACCCAATCTTGAAGCTCCTGAAACTAACGTAATACGAGGAGTGTGCATGACGCAACTGGAAGAAAAAGTGGTTTTTTTTAAATGAAATGCTTGTTCATCATCGGTTACAACTGATCCCAAATCATCTTCCCTATTTCGAGAGTGAAATTTTTTTGCCGAAATGCCCAATACAACAACCTGACAAAGGCTTGTACCCGAATCTGCCAAACTGCAGTCCAGCGTGTAAGCCATTAGGTCATCACGCCATCTATTCTTTTGGCATAAAACAATTTCCTCCCAAGTTCACGTCATGAATGACACTACAGGCGGGCAATTTTGTTGCAAGGGTCACGAAGTAACATTTGAAATGTTACTCATTGACACTCCTTTACAAATGCATCATCACCGTCCATTGCAGGAGTATTGTGCGCTTGGGTTACTAGCATCCGTCAAATTGAATACGTCTTCAAATTTTAAGAACTCAAAAGTTGTTAGTGTTTGCTTGCGTTTTACAAGTTGGTAATTTGCATTTCTCGGCAATCTCATCCGTTCTGGACCATCCTCGATCCAATTTGGATTATTCTTCCCATATTTTTCTATTTTCGTCATGGCATTATATTTGTAGCTTCCGCAGCAACGAAGTATTGTCACTAAGAAATACAATTATGACAAACTGGTAGTTAAATTGAAACGGAAATAAACGTTCCTCTGAGCTTTACGCTCAATTTCCGTTGCTTTCTCGAGTGCATTATTAGTTTCCTTCTCCTTTTCGGGGTATGCAAAGGTAACGGCAGCTCGACATGCTTTAAAGCCATGTTTAATCAAGGGTCTCTTTGGAACTGAATTTATTAGCCAGAGACCTATAAATAAGATTATCGAGGCCAACTCTCATATTCATAATTTACGGCTGAACTTAGAACTGTTATGAATTGTGACAACAGTTATGTATGTTTCTTCGGGTAATGATTGTTTTGGAGATTCTTTTTATCTTAAAGAGAAGCTGCGAGAGGGATACGTGACAGCAACAGGATAACAGGAAGCAAAGTTCAATTTCTCTAAAGAATTTTTAGAATTTTAACTGCCACATATCGCTTGGTGAAGACACAACGTCAGGAACAAAAGCTCCTTTCGAAAAAAAAAACCTCCGCGAACTAAAGGACCCCAACGAATAATACTGAAAGCTGAGAGCAAATTGAGATGTTTAGGAATAAGCAAAAGCGTGACAGGAAATGCAACTCAAGATACCACTGAGAATCTGTCCGTCACAAATTAAGTATCGCTTCAATTATAGTAAAAATACAAACTTTCGATTTTAAGTCAAAAGACACTTTCTTAATGGGATAAATTTAAGCTGCCTCGAGTTGTCACAAGAGCGAACTACATATAGTAATACCGGATATTCAGGATATTGTAATGCTTGCCAATGTCCACGAGATACGGAACAACTAACACGTAATAGATTATCTGTCTAGAAATATCAATAGAAATCACTTCGATGCGAAATAATTTACCTCAGGAAGCTGACTATCGTAGATTCAGGATAGATGCCATTCTTTTTCTAAAAGCTTTTCTTTGTTCCTACGCAGAAAGCTTCAGCCCGCCTTACAGTGCAAAACGTGCCTTTTCCGTCGCAGCATATTAAGAATTTACTCTCGTATACATATACGTCCAAAAAGCCACTAGATTAGACATTTGTTCCTCAGTTGGCAAGCAAACTACGAAAGAAGCAGTCAAGAATGTTTAGGTTACGGTTTTGTGGCGTCGGTGGTACAAAAACATATTTTGCACTCTAACCTCCGGAATCATGCCAAGATTGTTGACGTTCTGTTTGAATCACTTGACGTATCTTCACATTATTCCGTGATAAATTTATCCTTTCTTCCTAAAAAGAGAGAAGGCTTCTATTGTCACCAAGAGCCTAATTACTTTAAGTAATGATGCGACCACGCTAAAATTGGGTTTTTTACTGAGTCAGTATGCTTTTTGTTTGTAGTTCGAAACGATTAAAATTGTAACCATTTCCGTCAGCCGCAAAATGAAATATGGTAAAGCGAATATAAGTGGTTTGATAAGCTTCTATAGTTGTCAAAACATTATAATGATCACGCTTTCTTCTCTCTTCAAAAGACCGTACTGACGACGTCCCTTCTCCTTTTTAAACCTAACCAAACAGGAAGAAGAGATAGCAATAAATGGCTCCTATATTGCGTTGGTGCAGTTTGGCCCCCTTTTCATAGACCTATGTTTGTCTTACTTGTTTGTTTTTTAGCGCAGAATATTTCCTATATTTCATAAGGTGAACTGATATATAAAGGAAAAAGCCCTGACTACTTGAACGTGAAACCAATACTGCACAATAGAAAATTGATGAAACAATCAGATCCGAAGCACGCAATCGAGTATTAAAGCCGTTTTCGCGGAGCTGAATTTGACACCACTTTCGATGGATAATTTTTTTTGGATAAGTTTTTTTAATATTTTTTAAGACGATTTGCCGTTGAATGACATTTATTCTCCAGATTTCACCCACTGGTCGTAAACAATTTTAAGACACGCCGAAGTTATGTTATTTTCCTGATAATCTACAGCTCTGCCTTTGAATAGATTTACGTGATAACTGACATAAAGAGTTTGCTTTAAAGTTAAGCGTTAGATACTCGAGTTTTCCTGTAAATAATAAGATCGTAGTTTACGCTAGTGGAGGTAAGGTCAAAACTCGAATTTTTAGTCTACACCCTGTTGGCGATGACGATCAAGATGTATTGACAGCGGAGAAATTCAACACCAAACGACGATTAAATTCATTTTAACAGTTAAGTTGTTTTACGAATTAATATCTCGTGTTACTACTTAAAAACAAGCTTTATCATTATCTTCAATCACTAAAAAAGCAAATGGAATCCAAACGCCTATGTGAAAGTTTAAATCATAAACAAGGTGTGCTGGCCTACATGTTTAGTCTTATTATCTGAACTCTGCGGGTGAAACCTTCCAAAAAAAACCATCGATCATATGATCATAGTCTGCATATTCTAAGAATCACTCCTTGTCGTTTATTTCAAACATTTAAAACTGGAGAAAACCGTGTCGAGTGTCTCAAACAGCAAAAGCGACCCAAGGAAAAAAAGCCTACCAGTGATTTCAGGGCCAAAGGTGAGTGCAATGTCGTCTATTTATTTACGTCTCTCTCGTGTTAATACTACGGAAAATTCAATCTTAAGGGTATTCGCAAGCCAAAATAATACGCTTTGGTTACATTGCTTTTCAGAAACATCGCGATGAGGCTCGCAGGGTTGTCTTCAAACGGTCAACGAAGAATGCAAAGCACTCGACGGAATTTTTAGTTGTACACTGTCGCATACTGTGAACCATAAGCGAAGACACTATCAATACTCGGCCGTACGGTGTTTTCATCTCGTGTTTCACTCGATGGAAATGATACAGATATCTCGAGCGCAATCCACCGAAATGGCTTCAATGCTCACTTGATGATTCGATAATTGCGAAAGTAAACAAGGAGAAGGTAAAAAGCATCGAAAAAAAAACTATGATTGAGGAAAATGTCATTCATTTGCCAAGATCGTTCGTGTGATGCGCGCACCAAGTTTTTATAGAACAGCACACCGCCATGTATCGACAGCTGTAGTTTGATAAATAACACAATCTGGAGAATTTCACGTTTGCCCAAACTTTAAGTGAATCTATGAGCGGGTTCAACTTACCAATCCAACATGTCCCCTTGTGAATCCAACGCTTTCACGAGAATTCTGTTGCATCTTACATAACAGAGTAGATGAGCGATGGCTGTTCTTTGCGAAAGCAGGAACTGAGCGATTACGTGACGGCTTCGGTTCATTTGATCCGATTAATAAAAAAGTTCTCCTATGTGTCTTCTTAAAGATTAACCTTGCATTGTTTTGAGATTTGAGTTGTTAATCTTTAGAGAGGGCGCTTAGCTCGAAGGCCATAGGCGAGCCACCCTACGCGTTCCTTAAAAGTGAAGCAATCCGCGGATATCAAGAGAAATAAAATTGACGGTTATGAAGACAGCCCTGAATGACATCTATATACGCTGTTCTTGGTCTAAACATTTCGGTTATCGTATAATATAGTGAACTTTATTCCACTAATGCGTATCATCTGAATGTTTGTCTGTTTGTTTGTATTTTAATATAAAAGTACGAGAGTTGGTGTTAAGTCCATGTGTAAAAGGAGGAAACTTTTTTTGAGTTTTTTTAGCCAGACATGACGCATCAGGTGTAATATTTGCATTATTCAGTGTTTTTTTCACAGCTCTCGCATGGTTCTCTTGATTCCCACAGTTCGTTTCGTTCATGCATGTCAACAGCCACGATGGGTGGCCCGCCCGTGCCTATATTATTGCGTTTCCATTCTCATCGATTCTCGTGCTTATCACCCTTTTTCTCTGCTTAGATTGTTTTTGTTTTTTTTTTTCTGTGAAACACGCCGTTATCTTTGCTTTTTTCAGGAAAATACGCAGCCAAACCAATCTAAATACGTGGATTCACAGGTAATTATTCATTGGTAACAAGTACTTCATCAAAAAGAAAAAATATTACTGATTAACTATGAGGCGCTGAAATATTTATGAATGCTCTACCAAACTTATGTTTGGCTAATTAGAGATTGTCTCATAATTTTTGCAAACGGTACAAAACTATACAAGATCGTTTTCTCTTGAGGACAACTGAGTCTGAATTACCTTGAGATTGAGGAACCTTAATCGATTTCTTTTTCAATTGCACCAACGACTCTAGACGCGCGCTCACAGTCGAAGTCTTTGGTTAATCTCTTTGGTTTACATGGTTAACATTATGAGATCGATAAAGAAGATTGACTTCAAGATATTTGCAGCTCGAAGAACTGATAAAAATCCTGCACAAGTATGGGTCGAAGTTATTATTTAAAAGAGCTTTGTTCATCTTAGACACCTGCTTCTGTTATCTTTATGAAGGAATTGAAAAAAGAACATTCAAATGTTTAGAAAAATGAATGGACTGCCCTGTTTTATTAATTATAGCTTTCATAGAATAGCTGAAGGCTATGATTTGACCAATGCCCCCTACATGCATAATTAAAACAATATTTCTCATCAGTTCCTCACATATTTATTCAGTAGCTTTCGAATAAAGCAGTCTACTTGAACCTTAAACCGAGATTAAAATCGATCTCAATTTGATCTTTGTAGGCCTTGGCAGTGAAACTTCAAGAAAATTAGTTTTTAGCAGCATTTCAAATCAGACAAAACTGCATTGAGTCACTCTCCATAAATATTACGAAAAACTCGCATTAAGAAACCGTTCGTGAACCTCTTAGTTACCAACGGGTACATTAAAAAAGAGCGCCAGCGCAGTGGTCCTGTTTTTCTTTAACATCTCTCGTTTTTGTTTAAGTTTTAAGGGAAACTGGACGCGTCTTTAATGTGCGGCATCCCAATTTATTTCCTGTTTTCATTTTCTTTGCCGTGTAAATGCATTAAAATGAACTTATCTTATGCAATTTACCTGCGGTCGTCCTAATGCTTTGTCGAAAAAGACCATTTGCTACGCCAACTACAATTTGTATTCCTTGCATGTTTTATCTGCCCAGTGTTCTATTTTCAGTTGCAGGTGAACACAATCCTTAAAAACCTTCATCTGATGTGGTTGTCTGACTTTTTTTTCTTGATTAAACTTATGAAAATTTTATCATCTCCGGTGTTAAACCAAATCCACGAAAGGATCTTCAGTGCTATTATGATCGAATTTTTACTATATTTATCGTTAAAAATATATTTAAATAATGATGTATGATATAAAAAAAATGAGACAATTTTGGATAAGTATTTCCATAACAAAAATCACCATGAAGTTTGTAAAGGCAGGTATGGCCTAATCAAAGTCTAATCTGCTTGCAAATCAGTTTGAAACTACACCTACTACAGTAAAAGGACAAAAGCGCACTAAAAAATGGCTTAGAAGCGGGTGAATTTAAATGTATTCAGAGAAAATAAGCAATTTATCTAAATTGTGCGATTTAATTCTAGTTATCACTAGAGGCCCATTAAATTTACATTCGCTTTTTCGAAACCGCGACAGAAAACTAAATTTTAACTACATGTAAGCCCGCGGTGACCATCAATTGCGAGTCGCCCACATTCCCGCCATCTGCAATCTCTTAAAATGGAGAGAGTTCTTTATTCGGTTTGTATTAAATTGGTTTGGTTCACCACTCAGACTACCCACGCCGGCTGGTTATTGGCTTTAACAACAACAAAATTTTAAAAAATGCACGAAAAGATAGGGCGTTTTTATTTCTGGATTTTCTTAGGGGGAATTTTATCAAAAGGCAAACGCCTCACGGCAAAAAAATGACTTCCTTTTCGAATGCTTCAAGCTGTCTTTGCACTTCATTGAGAATATTTGAATATAATTTGCGCAGGAAATATTTTCAAATTTTCCTTCGGTAATATTGATAGTGAAATTGGGTAAAGTCAGAGTTCATTTTTCCCGTTTGTTTTCGGTAAACGCTCTACTTGAAAATACAAAGTGAATCAATGTTATACTCACCAGTTCAGGAGAAAACAGTATCAATTTTCAGCCTATTTTTCAACCCTACTCATGGGTGATATGATATAACTAATGGTTGCCATCCGTGCTCAGGCTCTGCAACTGATGGGCACTTAGTCAGAGACTAAGTAAAGTGTATCTTATGCTATAAACTTTGCTCGTTTCCTTTTCCGGTGGAAACCAACGGAGAAAAATACTTGACTGTGGAACTTCATAACCAACATAATTCACTGATTAAAAACAGATATTAGTAGGAAGCCTTCTTAATGTCTGCAAAACGCGCCTGTACTAAGAGACAATTTATTCTAAGAGAACGACATGATGTATCCAGGGCGATGTTTGTGCACGCTACGCTAGCTTATCAGTTTCGCGGTTTTCCAAAGAACATTAACAATGCAAATTTCACTCGACATAAGATTTCTTTGTTTACCGTTGTAATGACTTTTTCAATAACATGTTCGTAACCTTTTATCTTTAGTAACTTTGATCATTTTCCTCCAAATGTGACGTTGTCTCGGAAAACTACGTCGAGTTCTAAGGATGACACAAATTAGGAAAAATTTCAATTTTCTACTTGTTGTCATAAACTGTGTATTTTCACCTAAAGAGGTCTTATCAAAATTTCGAAAATAACATCGCCGCAATGCCGGATATTTGCGAACGTCTTTGAAGTAAACACACTTGTACCAGTCGTAAAAGAAACTTCTCTAAACGCATTAAAACATCTAAAAGTCGACAAACTGAAATGTATTTCGTACGTGCTTGAATCTAACAATAGGTTGGCAGAACGAAATTAAAAACACGACTGGAATCTTCGATCGACGAAGCTTGGATGCAGAAGTGAGCCGATCATCTATGAATATTCAATTAAGGGTCTTAAGTCTTCTTCTAGAACCTGGCATTTTAAAATTCGTGTGTGTATTTGGCAGTCTCTTTATGCATGACTTTAGCAGTTTTAATTGCAATCTTCATGAGTAAGAAAACAGTTCCAGGAAAGGGTTTCCGGAAAAGTTTAATACATCGACAGAATACTATTCATACACCGCTATTATTATGCAATTACGATTAAAAGACGCAGGCTTTATCAATGTCGCCTGTTATAAACTTACAAATTGTAAACAGGCAATAAAAAATTTGCGTGAAAATTCAGTGCGGAATAAAAGGTGACTGCTTATGTATATGCGCTCTCTGAGTACTGCTTCATAAACGCGCATTTGAGCATCTTTTTCTAGTAATGATCCATGATTTCACGTCGGCGGTGCCCATAAAACTACAAACTTGATTAAAATCGTTGCCCATTCAAAGAGACTAATCATGGTATATACATTGCTTTGTGCATTTACTTTCAAAGAGCAAATGGTACATCGCCCCTAAGCCAAGTGTTACATAGAACCTCTGAATGAAGATTTGATTTCATCATTAGTGTTAGTATTATCTGTATTATTTTTCAATTTTTTTTAGGAATAATTATACTGTCTAACGACGATGCTAGCATTCTCCAGGTCACAGACGTTTTCACCTTTCATTACTTTGGTATCAAAAACTTGTAAATTATTTGTAAACATTGATGAATTTAATGTCTTTATAGATCTGTTCTGAACTTTCCCCTCGTTTTACTTTCGAAAAGGTGTCGCACGTCGTGGAAGTAAGAACACTAACAGTTAATTGTGCCGCTCTATTTTGAAACAAATGGAACTCATGCATACAAAACAGCTGGACGTGGCGTGAATTTTGACATGATAGACCGATCGTGGTTTTCGTTTACGAGGTTTTAACATGTGTTCAAAATATCCCGCTCTCAGGCTACCCGTCATGTTTCGCCAATATGAAACCCTGCAGGTAATTTGTCTATCTGGGTCTGTTATGGCTATTTAATTAAAAGACATTGATCCTTGGCAAGAAATTTTGCTGCATCATTTTGCGTCATGTTTTTTACCTTACCCTGCCTTGAGACTAAGCCATGAAGTAAGTTCAAATAAAAGCCAAAAGGTATATATCGGCTACATAAAGTTACCAGAAATAATGCGATTTAAGGGAACCTTGAAATTACGGCATTTCTATAGCAACTCTGGGGTGTCCGAGCAATTTCATACGATAACAGCCTTCACGTTATAGCAGTTAAATAGTAAGATAAATAAAAGCACTACAGTGCAGCCTATGGCCTCGTCATGATCAGTTGAAAATGAATCAGAACGCCGAATGATGGACAATCGCTGTGGCATCTTCAATCAAATCCCTTTTGGTGAGAACAATTGTAATGATAACCACACAATCGTTTTCACTTGCCATGGCACAACGCGGGCGGGCTCCAGAAATTATGAAGATCGCAGCGGTGGCTCGACAGTAAGCAGGATAATGAGCGTCGAAAATTTAGTTATCAAAAATTTTTACCTTTAACTTTATCAAAGGAAGAGTTAATACCTCCTGCCCTCCGCTCGGGTGATCATCTAAATTGAGTATGGCAAACACTTCACGTACTTTTGCCTTGTCACTTTGTGCTAAAATGGACCCTCGACCGCGTCGTGACATATATGCAAATCGCTCAGCCGCTTTTATACTTTTGTGTTGGTTTACGTGCGTGGACAATAGGCTAATTGAATATCTGAAAAAGTTGTTTATAGAACTACCTTTACTCCTTACTTGACTCAAGACGCTTGTGCTTTCCAACTTTGAAGCGCAGTTAACCGTTAACACCTGTTGGTAGTTGTTCTCGTTTCCTCGGTTCAAAGTAAGCGAGATATAGTAAAAAATTTGAGGGTGAACGTAACGGTGTAAGCGTTATCCACCTGGGGCAATATCAGCTAATGCTTGGATGATTAAATTTTTTGCTCTAGTGATACCCACGAGATGCAAGTACTCTCGTCCAACTTGAACAAGTTTGATCCATTTCCATTGTGAACGCAAGCGATTTACGCGGGCGGGGAAAAGGCCCCGGGCAGATCGACTTTTATACTAACAACGCGTTACTCGCCTTTGCACTTCAAGTAATGACGTCTGCATTTTTCATTTACTTTTGGCTGATAATCACCTAGCTGTATGAGCTATGCACCCGGTCTCCTATTAGAGGATTTGGCTTTTGACGCAGTCGGTCGCCACTTGCAGCCTGCTGATGTTAATCACCGATAGCTAATGCGGCACGTGTTTTACCGTATGGCAAAGTACAAATTTGAGGTTATGTACCTTTTGGAGGTTTGGACGGTCAAGATTTGATGAAACAAGAAGTTTGTCGTTCTAGAAACCGTAGCTAAGCACAAAGCAGACGAATGATCGCTCTTTTACAGCCCTGTGCCCGCTGCAACTATTAATTCATAAATATACAAGATCATCTGCACACTCAAAAACAATCGAACATTTAATAATACCGCGCAGATATTTCTGACCAAAGGATCTACATTTTTAGATACTGATTATTAACAACTGATAGATGACATTGAGCGTAAAGCGTTTTATTTGTTTGAATAACCGTTGATTCCATATCATCCAAAGGTTCAGTTAATTTACGTTCATTTAATTATATCGAGCTGCGGCTATTTGCTCTCACACACCTGGAGGTGTCTGTCAAAAATTGAAGCTTGCTCCAAAAAAAATTCCAAAAAATAGGTGAACCAGCTACCAGAAAGAAAATAGATGTAAAAAAAAAAGAACATCAATCTTATTTAACACCCAAAATTTAATTATTTCATCCCGCGGTAACAGTTGATCGTGCGATCTAATCGACAGTTGTCGTTAGCAACTAACCTTGGCGGAAGTCAATGATGATGACTTCCGTTCAGGTTATCGAAATGTGGGTCACTGCTTTTCTGGCACTCCCAAATTATGTGTTCCGCTACTTTATTGATTATGAACGAAGCGTTTTACTAAAGCTTTTTCCAAATGAAAGATAATCAACCGGATTGAATTTCAATTTTTAACTCTTTCAGGTGGCCAATTTACGTTTTCAACTCAGTCGTTAACACCAAATTACCTGAATTTCAATAGCCTCGATTATACTCCCACAAAGAATAACGTCTCAGTTAAAAACGTTATAACTGATACCGATTGATAAAGGTTTTTTCAAACGCACAACGCAATGACAATTCGTAATATAAATTGATTCCTTTGAAAAGAAAAATTATCATTGTGAGATGACGAGCAGCTTTGGTAACAAAAGCACGCAATTTATATCTTACTGTTTGTTTCAATAAAGTTCAGTAGGAAGCACGAAACGTTCATTTCAGGTTTTCCCAATCCCATAGGGATTGTATAATGCATGAAACAAGAATTGCAACGTGACTTTCATAAAAAGTTAAAGCTTACTGAATAGAAGTTAAGCTTTGCTTTCGTTTGCTGGGTCTTTCAAAATGTGTTACCTCATCTTTAGACGAAAAGACTCATCTCATGCCGTATGACTGAGGTGTTTTAAACTGACATTCTTTTTAAACTGTTTTTAAATCAGTTTTTTTCTTTTTAGTGACTCTTTTGTGCGTGCGGCACTCCACTAAATATTAAATCTTTTTCTCTATTTTCATGCGTCAGGCGTCGACAGGTGTCACCATACCCACTGGTACTTTAATTGTAAGGAAGCTGTTAATTTCTTCATTGGCACTTCAGATATTGGCCCCAACTAATTATTGCTCCGTTTCCTTTATGTGTAAAGTCAACCACTATCAAATCAATACAATCAATCAAACTCGAGTCTCTCTGACCCAGTTTTTACAAAACATGCGCCTCACTACTACTCTGAACTCGGGTATTTTCAGAGAATAAATGGCAGGATTTGCTAGTGAATTACCATAGTGAAGCAGCTTTGCAGAGAAAACAAGGTCTACAGGTATTCTCTCCAAAGCTGTGCTTGTAAAGTTCGCAATAATGTTCATGGCATGAAAAGGAGTCCAACTTAAAACGAAAACAACCGTAACTATGTACAACGCGGTTGCTAAGCGTTTTTCCTGCTTGGAAACACACATATCCATTTTAGCCTTGTTCCATAGATGAACACGAACGGAAACGGTCACGTAGGCAGCAGAAATGACAAAAACAGACAGAACAGACAAAATTGTTAAATAATAGATGAAAGTTGCTCTAGGCAGAATGAAAAGAAGATTTCGAGAGCTTAAAATGTAAACAACAGACGCTATTCCTGATGTAACCCATACCATGGTTATAGCCTTGTAATAACCTGTCTTGGTTTTTTTCCAGCGGTATGTCATTGGGTAAAGTACGGCATAGAGTCTCTCGAGTGCGATACAAGCCAGTGTGAACACAGAAGCAAGACCAGTAAAGACGTCTACAACCACATAAGCCTCTTGGAAGAGCAAAAGACTTCTGTCGATTGACGAATAACTGAGGGCGTACACAATATAGATGTACATTGGCATAGCAGAAGAACCCACCATTAGATCAGCGACAGCCAAATTCATCAAAAAGTAGCCGCCGAATTTCCTTGGAAATTTCTTGTTTGAAAAAATTGCAATGGTAAGGCTGTTGCCAATGGTAATGAGTACTGCTACGATTCCGTATGATATACACCATGCAATGACGCGAAGATGTTTTGTGGGAAGAGAGTTCTCGGTTGTTGAATTGTTCATGGCAGTTTCACTGTTGATGAATGGTTCATGTTAGTCTGTGGCTAAACCAGGGAGATTTTTCTGAAAGGAAAAAACATGATAAAATGATTTCAGTAATTCAGGGGCAGGCATTAATCGTTTAAAGATGAACATATTGATGAGTTAGGTGACAAACAAGAAGTGAGTCACGTTGGGTTACACGAAATCCCCAGCAAAGATGACTCGTTGTCGAAGTATTAACACGGTCGAATAGCGTTTGATCAAACTTGCGATGACTGAAAGAATATATATATATATATATATAATTACTCGTACATTAGCGTTTTTTTTATAGAACTCTAAACTCTCTTGAAGTTGCCTTCGATATTCTTTTAAAGGGGGGGTCAATAGAGATAGTGGGGTATGCATCTTGCAGATAATATGATTTATCGAATGGTATAAACATTGATGAGGCATAGCTAAGATTTGATTTCATATAAACGTGCTCTGACTTGAATGAATCAAACTGGCATCAACGCTGTCGAAACATTCTCAAGGATCAAGATCAAAGTTGCCTTCAGGCTCAAGAATGCCATCCGAAAGATGGAAGTTTTCTTCGAAAGTGATCAAAAGATTCTTTTAATTCAGAGTTCACCGTCGCTTCCATAACATAAGCTCAAGATACTGAATTTTAGGGCTTGATCACAGTGGTTTCTTAACATCAGTGGTATGGGAACTGCGAAGGAAACAAGAATACTGAGTGCTGTCAAACATTTTATTCATTTTCGACATATGTTAGAAGTAAATTTTCTAACACTCGTCGTTTGGTAAGTTAATTCTTCTTTATTCTCTTTCTTCACAAATTGATACAACGGGGACTAGCTGCTATCTGACAGGGAAAACTAGAGTCTCCGCATATAAAGGTGACACTACGGATGACGTTTCTAAGCCGTCAATCTTCTTGTGTCGTCATCGTACCATCTCAACTAGCGAATCACGCTTGACTACGTACTACAGTTCCCACATACTGAGTATGCACCTTCGAGTTGTTCACGCAGTTACAAAATCAATTTCTACCTTAATTTTCATATCTTTACGGTTGAGATCGGCCAGAACAGAAACGAGATCGATAATATAAAAATTACAAATAACCTTGGTTCCGAGTATTATTTATACCTGAAAGGGTATCTTAAGAGGAAATCACCTTAAAAGATTGTTACATAACAACATTTTGGTCACAAGAGTTACACCTTAAATTACCTCTGGGAACAAGAAGGTGTCGAACGCGACCTATTACTAGGGAGATTTACTCTTCCTGGACCAACAAATTAACTTAATTAAGAACATGGCTTATCACGAGTTCCATATCAACCTCACGATCACAACGAGGAAAACGTGATTATACTCACTAGGAGAACGAGGCCAAACTCATAAGAAGAACGTGACCAAACTCAACCTTTGAGATAAGACTACCAAGAGGGAGTACAAAGTAATCAACCTGCCCTTTTTTAGCTCGTGAATTGCGCGCATGCGTAAGAGCGAGTCGTAGATATGATGTGGAGAATGGTACTCGCTCGCTCGCTCGATTGGTCGATTCCTGTAAACCTTTTTTTCGATTTTAGGCTTTTGAGTGCATTTGATAGTTTTTGGCGAGCAATAAACAAACGAAATGGCGACCTTTGTTGCTAAGAATAGTGGTGGGGTGAAAAAGAAGCCAATGATAATCTTAAAAGAGTTTTTTTTTTTTCGTTTTAGTTTCAACAAGCGGCGCCAGCGACTGGCAGGCATGCAAGGGTTCACACTGAAATAACAGAACAACCTTCGTTTTTCATAAAATTGTAATTTACAATCCTTGAACTCGAAAACAATCCGAAGATTCATTGAAAATATCACTTACTGCGAAGCGCTCTGAGTTTACAGATGTTCAAAAGCTTTTTCTGTTATGGCGTGAGATTGAGGACAAAATCGATCATTACGTTTTGTATCGTGTGTTTTTCCTTTGTGAAGCAACAGAAGATGCCGCGACTGACGAAATTACAAGTTAACACGAAAATCAAATAACACCTAAACAAACA